AAACTGTGGCTGGACAACCCTACCCTTCTGTGTGCCCCAAGCCTTCCTGCCTCTGTTGGGTCAGTTAGCCTACTACCCCTGTGTCTGCACAGAGGGTCTTTGACCCCAGGCCAGTTAGCTTAGGCCTCTAAACTAGGGCACTAGGGCAGGTTCCGTGCCAGAGTTTGGGTCTACATAAGGGGCCTGGTGCCAGTGCAGCGGGTTAAGTTATGAGACCTGAGCTGCAGAGTGGAATGGGACCCCCATCCCACCTGTCTAACAGATGGGGCTGTGCTGTGTCATTCTGTCATTGTAATATAAATACAGATTTTTATACCTCATCTTCTGGTTTCTAGTTCTTTCTGTCTCCTTCCTTTTCTTCTTTGCCTCCAGCTTCAGCTAGAGGGCCTGACTCAATGGAGCTTGGGACAGTCTGGCCCTTGGGAATCAGCCTTCACATGTCTACAACCTCCATTTCCTGGGAAGCTGGCCAGATCCATAGATCTGCCAGCCTCTCCAAGAAGACATGAGTAGATGTACCATACGCCCTACTCTGTGCCAGGTGTTCTTATTTCTGATCTTGTAGTTTTATCCTGTTTCAGAACTAGGGCACTGTGGGCTAAAAGACAGCTCAATCCTTAAGGATGTTATACTGGCCAGATGCCCCCAACAGAAGTTGCTGAGTCTCCAGATTACACCTACAAGGACCCCTCCCTGGACCTATCCAAGCATCCTCAGAATGATTCAGGCATAGCTTCTGCCCTCAATACCTACTGTGCTGAGGTGGAGGTGTGATCAGCTGTGCTTTGATGCATGGGGACTTAGGCTTCTGAACTGCCCTCCCACAAGCAGCTGTGAGGTTGTTAGAACACACACAGGAGGGGAAAACAGGACAGTATCCCTGACACTCCACCACCTACAATGACACTTTAGCCCATTGGCAGGAATCCTGGCCCTTGTCCTTTGGGACCCTGCTATCCTCCCAAAGAGAGGAATACACCGAGGTTTGTCCTTTGAGGATTTACCACCTTGAATACCATAGAGGGAATGGATCAGGACTTGAGGGAGCAAGGCATAACCACACTGAACCCTCTGTAGAGCGAGCCATTGGAGATGGCCTAGTGGTACTTGCTAGAAAGTTTTAGGATGAAACCATGAATCTTGGGGAGGGAATCAGTCCTCCCAGCAGACAACAGTAGGCTCTGGATTCTTGAATATGTGCACCCCTGCCTTCTGATGGGTGCATGGGAAGGGGTGAACAGCCTTTGAGTCAATTGAAGGTCACTCAGAGAAAAAGGTGTTTTCTCATGTGAACACTATTGGTACCCCAGAATTGGTACAATTTAATGTTGATGTCAATATGGACATTTAAATCCCAAATACTGTGGTTTTGAGTCTATACCACTACCACTTTTTTGGGGTAAATATTTTTGGGGTAAATATTTTTTGGGGTTAAATATTTTGCATAATTAGCAACTACTATAGTCATGCTGGGTCCATCTCATAGGAAATTTAAGGCTCAGAGATGGCACTCTTTACATAGCTTTTCTGCCCCTACCCCAGGCCCACAAGACACCTCCCTAAGCCTGTCTCTATATTTCTTCATGTTTGCCCCCAAGTGAGACCCCTTCATGAATGTGAACCCTTGCCTACTTCCTTCTTGGCAGCCAGTGGCTCCAGAATGGCCTGCTATTCCTCCCCACCTCCCTATTCCCCAGAATTTAACTCAAATGCCTGCTTTCTCCTGCCCTTCACCTCAGTCTGTCTACCTCCTACTTGGTCCTTTGTCCTTACCATCTCATTTTGCATCTCATGGTTAGTTCAAGCCCAGCTTCCACTGCAAGTCGGCCCTGAGTCCTTTGTCCCTTTCTATCATAGTTTTGCTGAGGTTATGACTGCATAAATTAGGTGCTGGGCTCATCTGGACTAATTGCTATTGGGACATTGCATGGCTGCTTCCTTTTCCAATCTTTAGCTAGACAGCTGGGGCACAGGAGCTCTAGATTTTTCCAGAGTTATGCCACTGGGAAGGGAGCTGCAGTCACTCTAAACCCAGCCTTTCTCAACAGACATGAGCCTCTCAGCCTACCTAAGGTTCTGGGCTCCTCTGGCCCCTAAACTCTGCCAGGCCTCTTGTTATCAGCTTCCAGGTCCAAAGACCCCTATCCCTTCCCACCATCATGGTGACCCCTTCCCAGTGGTGCAGACCCAAGTGCTCCTCAGTTTGGTTCTGAGTTTTCACCTTTGTCACATGAGCGTAAACACAATGAAAAGCAAATCTCCCTCCCCCAACTCCATGATCTAAGGAAAGTCAGCTTTCTTCTGGAAGAACAAGACCAATAGGAAGAAGCTGCCAGACCACATTTCCCTGGCTGGCAGCCCCCAGGGTTCTGCCAGCTCTTGGGGTTCCCTTGTCTTTACCCATTTCTGAGTTGTCCAGTGCCAGCTTTCTCAGACCTTTTGTGACTTGAAAAGAACAATACAGGATCAAGCTAACACATGTCTGAGGCTGTCACTCCCTTGCTTAAAAACAGCCCCATCTCCATGTTGTTTGGAGAACAGATCTCTTCACTTCCATTAAACTGCATCTGAAAACAACCTTTAACTTCATAATTGTATTCAAGGTTTTAAAACTGCCCGAAAAGATACTGTCTAAAACATAAAATATTTTTTAAATATTGATGACAGGAGAGTAAAACTTTACCCAAGAAGTAGAAAAGGCAAACAGCAAGACTTTCACTCCTGGCCCTGCATTTAGGTTTGTTTCATCCATTCAGTTCTCACAGGCTTGCTTAGCAAAGAATAGCTCCCAGCTTCTTTTTACCTTTTGACCCCATTAAAACCACAACTGATTTTGAGTAGAAAACAAGCTTGTCTTGGAAATAAGTTTAACATATTTGCCTTCTTAAATTTCTAATCCAATTCCAGGAAAACTTCCCAGATCTGTATAATTAACCCTATTGTGTTTGTCATTTATACTCAGGGGCCTGATCCTGTTCTAATCTTTATATTTTTATGGCTTCTTATGGCCTCACAAACAACTCTCAAACAAATAGCTGTGGTCAGCAACTCAAAATGGAGAGTTGGGGCCAGGAACTACCCAGGAGTCACTAAGAAAAGTGGGTTTCCTGGTAGGTCTCCTGGGTTCCAGGTTGTGCCTCCTGCTCTCTAGGGGAACCTCATCCTGCACGAAGTAGCCCTTTGTCTTTCTGGCATCTTTAATTTTGTCTCCTCTGAGTTCTTCCTCACAGTCTATAAATATACCCAAGTTCCTCCCATTTTAAAACAAAACAAAACTAAAAATCCTCTCAGCCCTACATCCCCCCCCCCCCCCCCCTCTCCCCCCCCCTCTCCCCCCCCCCCCCCCCATCTTGTGTCGTTTGGCTCTTTTTCTCTCAGTCTTTGCATCCTCAGCAAAATTTCCCAAAAGCACTGCCTGCACTTCCTCTGGCCAAAACTCACTCAATACCAGCTCCCTGCTGAGCTCCTACCTCCAGCTTGACACCAGGGGTCCTTCTTGGCCTGTCCCCTCATTTCCTAGCCCCAGATTAGGCCCCATTCTGAGAACTTTCAGCCTGTAATGTTTGTTTTTATTCACTTTCAGATTTTATTGACTTTCAAAAGGAGGATAAAAAGTAAAACAATTAATAATAAATGTCTTCAACTCTCATTTAAATTACCTGATAGAACATTAGGTTTTTTTTTGTTTGTTTGTTTGTTTTTCCTCTTTAAAAACATTAAGAGCTGGGCATGGTGATTCATACCTGTGACCCCAGCATTTAGGGATGCTAAAGTAGGAGGATCTTGTTTTTCAAGCCCAGCTTAGGCCATGCAGCAAATCCTTGTCTCAAAAAACAAACAAGCAGGGCGCTGGAGAGATAGATGGCTCAGAGGTTAAGAGCACTGACTGCTCTTCTAGAGGTCCTGAGTTCAATTCTTAGCAACCACATGGTGACTCACAACCATCTGTAATGGGTTCTGATGCCCTCTTCTGGCATAAAGGCATACATGCAGATAAAGCACTCATACATAAAATAAGTAAGTAAATCTTAAAAACAACAACAAAAACTGACCCATGCAGGGGGTGGGGGAAGATCCAGAAAGAATTCTACCTGGTAACAACTAGCCTAGGAACTTTGGTAAGCTGCATCATTTGTGACTGGAGGAGGGGATTATTATTCTCTACTGATCAAAGCCCACACCTTGCAAATGCATATGTCATATTATGAGAGATTGGTAAGAAATGCAGTTTGTTAGAAAAACGGACACATTCTGTCGCATACAGACACTTTATTACCTATGTCAACGGTAGCTCCAAAGGTCAGTTTTCTGGGACCATAGGCCATTAAGCAGGCTTGCATCAGACTTAGCTTTATTTCAGCATTCTGTCTTTCATCCAATGACTGTGGGTGTCCTAGCATCTTCCTCAGAACGTGCTTTTGAGTTGAATGCATTCCTTCTACAGCACTCCAAACTTAACGTGCTTTACACTTTGATATTTTGAAGATGGGATCGTGGAGGAAGTCAGCTAGACTTTGGAGTTTAGTGCTTTTGCTAAAAAACCTTTATAAGAGAATCTACAACCAATAATCCACACTGCAGGAGACCTGCTGCTGGTGAGGAATCCTGCTACTGATTCTGCTATTAGCACCCTG